TAAGTATACCTCAACGTCATCAGCGACAAAAAGTGTGTCGTTACAGTACATTGTTGTGTATTATAATTATTTTGTAAATATCTTATAAATTTTTTTTTATTATTTTGTTGGCATTAATATACTAATAACAATTAAGAAAATTTTATTAGAAATAATAATTTGTTATACAAGTTATCACTGAACGAGCTTTTCACTAAACGAGCTTCTTATTAAACGAACTTCTTATTAAACCAGCTTAAAAACTAAACGAACTGCTTACAAAACGTGGAACAAAACAGTTAGAGATAGTGGTAAACGAGCAGCAGCAGCAGTCGTGAAGTGCAGTCGCAATAATTAAATAATTTGTATAATTAATAATTAAATATTAAATAAATAATTTACATATCAGAAAATTGTAATATATTTTTTTTATTATGAATATATATTAAATAAAACTTATATTTAAGGTGTACAATTTTTAAATTCTATTTTTTTTTAGTTTTTTTTTGTAGCTCTTAAATATAAATAATAGACATAATTTTTTTTATATGAATACCCTGATCATGTCTATATAAATTATAGGCTCCATGAGTAGTACAAGGACATACCAGGAGGTATGTATAAGGGTGAAATGTTAATAAACTGATGATACATATAAAACATTTGACAGGAGTGAAAGACAGGTAGGCTTACTGGGAGGGGTAAAATGTTCTCCATTGGTTCCCATAGATTTATAGACATATATATATAGAATTAGTCAATGGCACGATTTTTATTTATTTTTGTTTGATGTCTGCGGTGGTAATTAGATGCCAAGAAACACACCCCAAAACCGGCGAGCATGCCGGGCCTGCCAACGTGCCATGCTAGGCATCTAAGGACCACACCAATAACAACAGGCAGCCATAACAGAACTCAGAGAGAAATATTAAATATTCGAGCGGGTAGGAGAAATCAGCAATCCTGAGAAGCAACAGTTTAATGGTAACAAGAAAAACATTCGCAGTTTTAAAATAATCCATTTCTTTAATTGTGGATCAAGTGATCATAAACAAGCAGATTGTAAAATGGAAATAAAATGTTTTAAATGTAATGAAGCAGGACATGTATCCAAAAATTGTCCAAATAATACAAGGTGATACCAGCGAGGCTCCGTGAAAGTGTTTTTGTGTATCTTGATGATCTGTTAGTATGCTCTGTAGATTTTGAATCACATCTCAAACTTCTAGAGGAGGTAGCTACCTGTTTAGCTAAAAATAAACTTACGATAAACGTAGAAAAGAGCAAATTTTGCTACAAAGAAGTCAAGTACCTAGGGTTCATAGTAGGCGACGGGTGTTTGCGAACCGATAAAGGTAAAATCACAGCTATGGAAGAATTCCCTGAACCAAAGACCCCAAGGTAATTACGTCGATTTTTAGGTATGACAGGGTGGTATCGGAGGTTTATAAAAGATTATGCCACAATAGCTGCGCAACTGCACGAGTGTCTTACAAAGTCAAATATAAAAAAATTCATACTGTCAGATTAAGCCAGACATGCGTTTCAGGCGCACAAAACTAGTTTGTCAACAGCACCAGTACTCACCAATCCTGACTTTACAAAAAGATTTTACGTACAATGTGATGCGTCAAAGGAAGGAGTGGGTGGAGTTCTATTTCAGAAAGATGATTTTGGTGATGAACGACCCATTGCGTATATGTCTGCGAAGCTCAACCGAACTCAGCGAATTACAGTGTAACGGAATTAGAATGCTACGCGACGGAAGAAGTGATAGTGGAGAGAGTAGAGTTAGGGGTAAATTTAAGTTCGCAATTTTTCAAGTCCGATGAATATTTACAACTCATAGAAAAGATAGTTGCAGACCAAGAAAAACTACCAGAACTAACTGTATCTGAAGGGTTCGTGTACAAGCGTTTAGATTTTAATACGGGTGGCTTAATTCAGGAAGATAGGTGTTGAAGTTAAATCCTACCACAATGTTAATAACATTACACATATATAGATATTTTGTCAAGCCTTAATAACCTTTTATTTAGTCTTACATAATTTAATTTAATAAATAACGACAGTTGTGATTATACACTCGAAAAGAAAACAACGCGTTTTATTGAAAAGGTGTGTTCTACATTTGATAAATTCCAACAGGTTATGGGCCCAGGCTTAACTCAAGTAATATGAATTCTATATATAATATTGATAAACTGGATGAAAATAATTACGACTCATGGAGTATCCAGATGAGGAGTGTCCTCATACACCAAGGGTTCTGGTGTGTTATAAGTGAAAAAATGCCTGAAATGACCAAGGATGGAAAAGATGTGGATATATGTGAAAAGTGGAGACTGAACGATGAAAAGGCGTTGGCGGTAATAACGTTGTCAATAAAAACTTCAGAAATTGGACATATAAAAAAATGTAATACCGCAAAATCCGCTTGGACTGCATTAAGAGAAATTCATCAGCCCACTGGACCGATAAGAAAGGTATCTTTGTTTAAGAAAATGATATATATGCGCATGAGTGAGGGTGATTCCATGCAGCAGTATATTGCGAGCTTCGAAAAGGTCATTGAACAACTTTCAGAAATTGGCCTTGAATTGCAAGAAGAATTGTTTGTGATAATAATTTTAGCAAGTTTGCCAAAAAGTTATGAAAACTTTGTTGTTGCGTTAGAAACAAGAGATCAGCTCCCAAAGCTTAGTGCTTTAAAAACAAAATTATTTGAAGAAAGTGAGCGGAGAAAACATAATGAAACAGTCGAAGCAGATGGTATTGTACAAGCATTAGTTGCTACATCAAGCCATAAATATTCCAACAACGAGCACACCAAAAGATATAGCGGAGGTAAAGGAGATAAAAATTTTAGAAAAAAGAGTAACTTTAAATGTTACAAATGTGGGAAGAAAGGCCATTTCGCTGCAGAATGCAGATCAAGAGAAACTTCTGTTAAGAGAACTGAAAAAGTTTCTGGAGAATATTCAAAAACATTTTTTTCTGTTTTTGGAGTTAGTCAAAACACGGTACTAGATAAAAAAGCTTGGTGCTTGGATAGTGGCGCAACTTCTCATTTGTGCGCGCATCGTGAAATGTTTGAAGATTTTGAGCAGTGCAGTGAAAAAATAATGCTTGCAGGTAATAAATTTCTCAAAGCTATAGGACGTGGTAACGTGAGAATAAAAAGTCACATGGGTGAACTTATATTAAAAAATGTGTTGTATATTCCGGTATTGCAATGTAATTTTGTTTCTGTAAGCAAGGCAGCAAACAATGGTTACAAAGTGACATTCGATAAAAATAACGCGTATATTTATGATCAAAACGGTGAAACTGTGTTAAAAGCAAAGCAAATAAAACAATTATTTTTTTGTGAAATATTAAACAAAACAATCGATTTAAAAATGCAATTGTTTTTTAATAATAATGCAAATTATAATTTAGTTCTGTGGCATAGACGGTGCGGACACTTAAATATTAATAGTTTAATCGAATTAAAAAATAAACAACTAGTGCTGGGTTTAAAATTTGATTCAGATCAAAAACATATAAACTGCACAGTGTGTCTTAAATGCAAATGCAACATTAAACCGTTTCAATTGTCTCAAAGTAAAACGAAAAATATTTTAGACTTAGTCCATAGTGATGTTTGTGGACCAATAAATGTTAATTCAATCGGAGGATCCAGATACTTTGTTACTTTCGTAGACGACAACTCGCGGTATATTTTTGTTTATTTTATAAGGCAAAAATCAGAAGTTTTAAATGTTTTCAAATCATTTAAAAGCATGATTGAATGCCAAACAGGTAAAAAAATTAAAATGTTACGTAGTGATAATGGCACTGAATACGTAAATACAGAATTTAATAATTATTTAAATGAAAAGGGTATTCTTAGACAATTGACTGTGCCTCATACTCCACAACAGAATGGCGTTGCTGAAAGAGTCAACAGAACTTTAGTAGAGATGGCACGAAGTATGATCTTAAACGCAGGTGTCGAAAAAAACTTCTGGGGTGAAGCAATTAACACTGCAGCATATATAAGAAACCGATCACCAACAAGAACAATAAAGAACTTGACTCCATATGAGGTTTGGTGGGAAAAGAAACCTGTGGTAAGTCATTTGCGAGTATTTGGTTGCTTGGCGATAGCTCTTGATAAAACTGAGAAAAAGAAATTTCGACCAAAGGGCAAAGAAATGATTAGGGTTGGCTATGCAGAAAAATCGAAGCATATCGGCTATATGACAAAATAAATAAAAGGCTTGTTGTAAGTCGCGATGTGTATTTCGTTGAAAATTTAAACGATAATAGCAATATTAATCTCCTACCTTTATTAAGTGCAAATAATCTTAACCGCTATATTCCAGATAATGAATTTGAAATTCCAACTGAAAATCTCAAAAACAGTGAGGAGAACGGAACTGCCAACAAAGAAAGTAGTCAAATGAATACACCACAGGAAGATGATATACCTGATTTTCCAGAATCCGAAGACTATACTGGTACAAGAGCTGGTTATAATTTAAGACCAAGGCCACAATGTGATATTGTAAACTTAGTAGCTCCAGTCAAGACGTCAACTGATATAGTAGTCCCAGAAACAGTCTTCGAAGCTCTACAGAGTGAACAGTCCGCTTACTGGAGACGCGCTATGCAGGAGTATGATATATTGGTAAAAAATCATACATGGGACGCGGTGAAGCTACCAACAGGGCAAAAAGCTATCGGCTGTAAATGGGTTTTTGCAGTGAAATTCGATGCAACTGGAAACATCGAGAGGTACAAAGCACGATTGGTCGCTAAGGGCTGTAGTCAAAAATACGGTGTTAATTATACTGAAATATTTTCACCGGTAGTGAGATACGAAACCATAAGAATGATTTTAGCTATAGCAGTAGAATATGAACTTCATGTCCATCACCTTGATGTTTCATCAGCATATTTGAATGGTAATCTCGAAGAAACAATTTTTATCGAGCAACCGAAATTATTCGAGAAAGACGATAATAAAGTGCTTCAGCTCAAAAAATCAGGCCGAATGTGGCATTCCAGATTGAATGAGGAATTGGAGAAAATAGGATTTGTCTCATGCCGAAGCGAACCATGTGTATACACAAAAAATAACAATAAATGTTTGAATATCATCGCAGTGTATGTGGATGATTTGTTACTTGTGTGTACAGACCTAGGTGAGTTGGGCGCAATAATAAAGAAAATCTCTAATGTTTTTCAGATAGTAAATAAGGGTCCTATAAATCATTTTCTGGGTATGGAAGTGGAGCGTGAAAATCCAACTGGTGCTTTGACTATTAGTCAAAAACAACTTGTATTGCAGCTCTTAAAAAAAAATCGTATGAGTGTGTGTCGCCCAGTCTCTACCCCTCTTGAGACAAACTTTCAGGTTCATTGTTAATTACCACAATGTTAATAACATTACACATATATAGATATTTTGTCAAGCTTTAATAAGCTTTTATTTAGTCTTACATAATTTAATTTAATAAATAACGACAGTTGTGATTATACACTCGAAAAGAAAACAACGCGTTTTATTGAAAAGGTGTGTTCTACATTTGATAAATTCCAACAATAGGGCATGGAAACTATGGGTTCCGACCGAGTTACGAAAAGAACACGATGTTATTCGTATGTTTGGATCACTTTACGAAATTTACTTTCTTAAAGCCAATGAAAGCAGCCACGGCCGCTAAGGTTACTCAATACCTTGAAAATGACATTTTTCATGTGTTCGGGGTACCTGTGTACATTCATAGTGATAATGGTAAACAATTCACAGCAGAAAAATTTAAGAACCTGCTTTTGAAGTACGGAATCACACATGTCAAAATGGGATTTTATGCTCCGCAGGCAAATGCAGCTAAAAGGGTAAACCGTAGTGTGCTCCAAATTTTACGATCTTTCATAACACAAGATCAGAAAACCTGGGATCGCCATGTCAGTGAGGCGGCATGGGCACTCAGGAGTGTAACACATAGCGCGATTAGGATTTCTTTTGTTATGTTTTTTTTAGTGTTGATGCATTTATACATACATATTGCACCTTTCTTTTTCTTTACAAAATTAAAGTTTATATATATATATAATATTTAGTCCAACATTATTATTAATTTTTTTTGTCTAATATAATTTGTCTATCTTCAATTTCAAATTATTTTTTTTTTTTATTTTTTTTTAGTATTTAATTTTTTTGTGTATTTTTTTTAATGCTAATAATTCCATTCCTATGATGTTATTTAACAAATTAGGCGTAAAAATTATGTAAATTTAATTTAATATAGTTGTAATTCACATTATTTTTCTATTGTTTATTTTGGTTAGAACCTAAATATAGAGATATAATACAAATTGGTTTTGTTTTTTTTTTTGGTAATTTTACTTAGGCATGTTATATAAAACAAATGTAGAAAAAGAAAAATTTCAAAACATGATGGCTTAAGATCAGAAAATATAGATGACAGGTGAATGTGAAAAAGGGGACAATGTTAGATAAGGTAAAAATGAGTTAGACAGGACAGGGACGACCATAAGATTAGGGAGCTGTAAGGAATAGTAGGACCTTTTACTTCAGCTCAAAGGTAACTACGGTAGAGTAGTGAGGGTGGGTAGGTCCAAACCGACAAACAAGGACAGGGACAATACGGAATAACACTGGTAGACAGCGTATTACAATGAAATAGTTTTTTTTATATTTTTTTGTTCTTTTTACTTTCCTTATTTTTTTGTTTGATCTACTTTGATCACATTTATCGCAATTTTTTTTAACAATACTCTCTGGCACGATTTTTTTTATTTTTTGTTACGGTTCGAATGTGTTATAGCGGAGTAAATAATCCAACCCTTTTTCTGACGAGCTAGCTGGCCTCGCCACCGTGCCAAACCTTAACTCCGCTCACAAGAAAAATATCCGAAGATGTTGAACGTAACAAGACGTACATGTTGAATTAAAAAAGACCGAATAAAAACAATTAAATTGAACAATGTGGAAGTGGCGTGTCTCGTTGATATAGGGGCAGATGTGTCGATTGTAAAAAACAGCATTTGTAAAAAATTAGTGAATGTGGACACGCAAAAGTGTCACTCCGTTTTACGTGGCCTGGGTAAAACAAATACCACGCCATTGGGTATTGTTACGGGCTTTGTTAAGATGGATGATGTTGAAGTTCAACGAAGTTTTGTCGTGTTGCCAGATGATAAAATAGTGTACGACACTTTGCTTGGTTTTGATTTTACCTCCAAGTTTTGTGTTATATTGAACGAGAAAGGGTTTACGTTTTCACAGTTATCGGTACAGCAAGAGTATGCTGAAATAAATCAGATAAGTATGATAAACTTTAAAGAAACTGGTATACATGTCTCTCAGCAGTTTAAGCTATTAATACAGTCATTAATAAAGGAGTATCGACCAATACAATCAAAAGTTGAATGGCCTGTATTACTTAAAATTGTCGTTATCCACCAATTGAATGTGAAGCAGTGAAAAAAAAGTAAACGACTAGTTGAACAAAGGCATCGTGCGAAAGTCGACTCTCGACTATGGCAGTAGAGTAGTCGTAGTAAAAAAGAAAGACGGTATATATCGAATTTGCGTTGATTTTCGACAGCATGGTTCTTGATAAACTGCAATCCGCCAAAGGTTTAGTTGTAATGGCTTTGAAAAATAGTTTCCTTCACGTACCAGTAGAAGCAAGCCGCAAGTATACGGTGTTTATTACCAAGGAAGGTTTAGTTGAGTTTAACAGAGCACCATTTGGGTTCTGCACCTCTCCGGCTGTGTTTATAAGATTCGTTAATTATATATTGCATAATTTAATTTCCAAAGATACAATGCAGCTATATATAGATGATATTATAAATTATGCACAGACTGCTGAGGAATGTAAAAGTTAAAGACAGTTCTGGAAGAAACGGCAAAATATCAGTTGTTAATCAAATGGAAGAAGTGCCATTTTCTAAAAGAGAGAATCAAATTTTTGGGTCATACGGTTGAAGCCGATAAAGTTTGGCCAGGTAAAAAGAAAACACTTGCCGTTAAACAATTTCCAATTCCAAAAAACGTAAAACCAGTTCAATTATTTCTTGGTCTAACAGGGTATTGTAGAAAATTCATAAAAGGCTACGAACACATTGCTCGCCCATTGACCGATTTGTTAAAAAAAGTCGTGATGTTCAAATTTGAAGCAACCGAAGTGAATGCGGTAAATCAGTTGAAAAATCCCTTGACCAGTGAACCTGTTTTAAGAATTTACTGTAGAAATGCATCAATTGAATTACACACAGATGCATCAATTGAATTTCACACAGATGCATCAAAAGATGGTTTCGGGGCAGCGTTATTCCAAAGATTTGAAGGACAACTACATTCTGTGGTGTTTTGGAGTAAAAGACCTACGTCAAGTGATTTTAAACTTCACAGTTACATTGTAGTATACATACATTTACATATATAAAGCAACTTCAATAAATATACTTTGTTGCTAAATAGTCTAAAAAGACTATATAATTTACTTAGTATTGCACACCTACATGAATTATGCCTGGCCAGCACATTCCTGTTGCTTAAGCTCACATGAAGCAGCAATGCCTTCATGTTATTTAAAACCACGCTGTGTGCGATAAGATTTTATGTATGCATGCTTTACCATTCCCTTAGATACATATTAAGTGTTAACGTAAGCTATTTTTGTATGTTAAGTTTAGCTCTAAGCTTATGAAGCAGAGCATAAGTACACATTCTAATTCAGACATGCATACCAAACGGATGCAATGATTAATAAATATTTTTACATACAAATTATTCTTTTATTTAAAAGCTTCACACCCCAACATACTGGAGGTGAAGGCTGCCTACCTGGCAATAGAAAAGTTTCGACACTACCTTCTAGATGTCTATTATGAATATCAGTAAGCCAAAAGATAAAAAAGATTTACAAAAACTGTTGAGTATGGTGAATTATTTGCAAGAATATATACCAAATTTATCCGAAACTTCACAGCCATTAAGAGAATTGCTTAAACAAGGTGTATTTTTCGAGTGGCAGTCAATCCATGAAAATTGTTTAAAATGAACAAAAGAAATGATAGCTAATGCTCCAACTTTAAGTATGTTCGATGATAATTTACCAGTCACAATTGAAACTGATGCATCAAAATTTCGTAGAAAAATTACAAGTAGCGAATCAACAAAAGAAGCAGAACGTTAAAGCAGAAAAGACAAAAGGCAGATAAGCAGTGAGTAAATACGACATCGAGACGCCAGCATAAGTCTGATTTTACCACTAAATGAAATACAGTAGGAACTGGGATGCAAAACAAATAAGTCAATTAATTTATATTTATACTCATTTTTTTGCTTCTTTGTATTCAGTACGTAATTTTTTTTTATTATTTACCATTTTGTATCGCCAAAATAGTGTTTAAAGATCGAAAAATAATGAATCCAATAAACCAAGAAAACATGCAATCCGCCCCCGCAGCCGCGCCAAACATTGCGCCGCGCCAGAACCGTCGCCGCCGGCCACTCAAAATAAAACCAATTAAGTTACCCACGAATCGCCGCCAGGCAGAAACCCATTGGCACAAGCTTCAAATAACGTAATACCACCACAACAACAGCAAGCATAGCCAAAGGCCCAAGGTCTAGCTGAATCGTTAGGCAAAATCACCTCTAAGCCTAAAATAGTACCGCGTGCTTTAAGCACCGTGGCATCAGCCGAACGAAACGACGTATTGGTTACAGACGCCATCCTAGTTGATGGTGTGTCATCGGGAGTTCCTTGTGAGAGAGATCGACATTTTCAACTCGACTACTCACAATTCATGCAAATAGTATCCAGTACATATAGGGTGATGACGCGCCAAGATCGCGCATTACAGAAACATCTTTCGTACTCCCAGTTCCAATATTACTGTGTGATTTTACTTTGGAAGCGCCTAAAATTTGTTTTGTCAGCGCGTGGTAATGAAGTGAACTTCTACCACTCACTCAAAAGGCAGCTCCCCCCATGGTAATCCCGGACGAAATAGGATATTATCTTGATGGTATCGGTAACATCTCCGACTATAACGAGCGAAAATACTGGATCTCGGTCCAGGACTCATTACGAGCCGACGCAGTCAATGGCATCCCCGGCCACTTTGGGCGAGTAGACGACGTCTCACATATTAGTTACGAGACACTCCCATCCCCATTGTTTCTGTGTACAGATTATTCATGGATTTAGCCATATCAGCAGGACAATCAATGCATCGAATCCTCAAGAAGAGGAAGAGCTTGCTCCTCAATATATACCCAACCGAAATCTGCTAGGTTGGGCTCCAGCTGAACCGCTAACGGATGAGCAAGTAAGAGCTTATATCAGCGCTGGATTATCAGCTAGCGTCGAAAATAACGACGGTGTTATACATGTAGACTTTGACGTCCCTGGAATCGTCAATTTTGAAGGGCTTTCAGTAATTTACCCTCTACTGCTCGCAGTATCAGAACTGCCGCTAAGTCGTCCCAGTCCTCATATAACGCTCACGCGGA